AGCTCTGAGTGCATAAGGGGTGGGGACATGATGTACGAGGGATACAGCATCAAGTGTCCTATTTGTTTGGCAGCTGTTGGAGACTTTGGTCAGAAGTCCAGAGGAGAATTTCAAATGTGCCACATGTTAAAGAAAATATCATGCTTAAAAAAATTTCAAAATAAAGAAGCACGGAAAAGCTTCAAAAAGAGTACACCATCAGGGCTGTGTGGTATTGGCAAAAGAATAGACAAATAGATTAATGAGACAGACAGAAGAGAAAGCCCAGAAATAGACCCACACGAAATATAGGCAACTGATCTTTGACAGGGGAGCAAAGACAAAATAATGGAGCCAAGATAATCTTTTCAACAAATGTGCTGGAACAACCTGGCATCCATGTGAAAACAAATGGAATCTAGTTACAGACCTCACACCCTTCACAACAATTAACTCAAAACGGATCACAGATCTAAATCTAAAATGCAGTACGATTAAACTTCTAGAAGATAACATGAAAAAACCTAGATGACCTTGGTGATGTTTGGTGATGATTTTTAGATACAACATAAAGACTTGGCTCATGAAAGAAGAACTGGTAATTAGGACTTCTCAAAAATTTAAAATTTCTGCTCTGCAAAAGACATTGTTGAGAAAATAAGACAAGCTACAGACTGTGAGAAAATACTCGCAAAAGACACACCTGATAAAGGACTGTTATCCAACATAGACCAAGAACTCTTAAAATTCAACAAAAACACCTACTCTGCTTGAAAAATGGGTAAAAAATCTTAGCAGACATCTCCCCAAAGAAGATATACAGATGTTCAAGAATCTCTCATGGTTGCCAAGAACCAACTGAGGGCTGATTGGGGTGGGGAGGAGGCGAAGAGGGGCAGTGGGCATGGAGGAGGGCACTTGTAGGGATGAGCACTGGGTGTTATATGGAAACCAACTTGACAATATACTATTAAAAAAAAGAAGATATGGTGTATATATATGTATATATATATATATGTATTATATACAATGGAATACTCCTCAGCAATGGAAAAGATTGAAATCTTGCCATTTGCAGCAACGTGGGTGGACCTTGAGTGTATTATGTTAAATGAAATAAGTCAGTCGGAGAAAAATACCTATGATTTCATTCATATGTGGAGTTCAAGAAACAAAATAGATGAACAAAGAGAAGGGAAGGAAAAATAAGATAAAAGCAGAGAGGGAAGCCAACCATAAGAGACTCAAATACAGAGAACTGTTGGGTGGAGCAATGGGGGGTGATGGGCATTAAGGAGGGGGGATGGGCACTGGGTGTTACATGTAAGTAATGATACACTGGGTTCTACTCCTGAAACCAATACTACACTGTATGTTAACTAACTTGAATTTAAATAAATAAATTTTTTAAAAGTTTAAAAGATATACAGATGGCAAGTAAGCACGTGACATGATGTTCCACATCATATGTCTTCAGGAAGATGCAGGTAAAAACTGCAAGATACTGCTACACACCTCCTACAATGCCAAAATCCAGAGCTCTGACAATGCTAAATGCTGGTGAGGATGTGGGCCACAGGAACCTTCTCTCCTTTATTGCCAGTGGGAATGCCAAATGGCACAGCTACTTTGAAGGACAGTTTGGTGGTCTCCAACAGTACAAAGCATATTCTTACCTTATGGTCAGCTGATCTCATTCCTTGTTATTTACCCAAAGAAGTTGAGAACTTATGTCCACCTAAAACCCTGCACACAGATATTTATTGCAGCTTTATTCATTATTGCCAAAACTTGGAAGCAACCAAGATGTCTTCCAGTGGTTGAATGGGTACATAAGCAGTGGTGCATCCAGACAATGAAATATTACTCAGTGCTAATAAGAAATGAACTATCAAACCGTATAAAGATGGGAAGGAAAATCAAATGTATATTATGAGGTAAAAGAAGCCAACACAAAAAGACTGTATGATTTCAACTGTGTGACATTCTGGAAAAGGCAAACATATGGGGATGGTACAAAGCAGTGGTTGCCAGGGGCTAGCGGAGAAGGATGGATGAATAGATGGATCACAGATGTTTTCTAGGACAATGAAACTACTCTATCTGATGCTTAATGGTGGATACATGCCCTTATACATTTATCAAAACCCATAGAATGCACAAGACCAAGAATGAACCCTAATGTGAACTAGGAACTCTGGGTGATGATGATGTGTTAATGTAGATTTGTGAATTGTAACAAATGTACCTCTCTTGGGGGGATGTTAGTAGTGAGGGAGCCTGAGCCGGGGGAAGGGTTTCTGTGAGAACCTTCTGTTCCATTTTGCTCTAAGAAAAAGTCTAATAAAAAACAGCGCAACTAAAACCATAAAACTCCTACAATAAAATGAGAGGAAACCTCCTTGACATAGGTCTTGACCATGATTTTTTGGAATAGTACCTAAAGCACGAGCAACAAAAGCAAAAATAAACAAGTGGGACTACATCAGAGTAAAAGGCTTCTGCCCAGCAAAAGAAAATATCAAGACAATGAAAAGTCACTCTATAAAATAAGAGAAAATATTCACAAAACACATTTCTGATAAGGTGTTAATAGAAGGAACTCCTACAATTCAACAGTAAGATTCCCAATAATCTGATAAAAAATGGGCAATGGATCTAAATAGGTATTTTCCTAGAGAATATATTCAAATGCCCAACAGATCCATGAAAACAGGCTCAATATCACTAATCATCAGGGAAATGCAAATCAAAACGGCAATGAGATTTCACCTCACACCTGTTAGAATGGCTAGTATCAAAAAGCAATATATAACATAGTGTTGGAGAGGATGTGGAGAAGAGGGACTCCTCATGAACTGTTGGTAGAAATGTAAACTAGTACAGCCACTGTGAAAATAGTATGGAGATTCCTCAAAAAATTAAAAATAGAATTACCACATGTGATCCAGCAATTCCACTTCCAGGTATGTATGCAAAGGAAATGAAACTGCTATCTTGAAAGAGGTACCTGTTACCCACAGGTTCACTCCATCATTATTCACAGTAACCAAGCCAAGACATGTAAACAACCTATGGTCCATCAGCGGATGAACGGGTAAAGAAAACATGATATTTTTCAGCCATAAAAATGAAGGAAACCCTACGTTTTGCAACAGCATGGATAAACCTTAAGGGCATAAAGACAAATGATATATGATCTCACATGTGGGTTAAAAAAAAAAACTGAAGTCATGGAAATGAGACAGACTGATGGTTCCCAGAGGTGGGGGCAAAATGGACGAAGGTGGTCAAATAGTACAAATTTTCGGTTGTAAGAGTAATAAGTCCTGGGGAATTAATGTACAGCATGGTGACCCTAGTTAATCATATCATGTTGTATATTTAAAAGTTGGTAAGAGAGTGGATCTTAAAAGTTTTCATCACAAGAGGTGATGAATATTAATTAAACTTACTTTGGTAATCACTTTGCAAAATATACATATATAAAGTCAGTATGCTGCATATCTTAAACTCATACAATGTTATATGTCAATTTTATCTGATAATAAAACTGGGAAAAAATAGTACAAAGAAAATTTTCCCACAAAATGCCCTATCATCTCAGAATGCTTTCATGTGCATTACCAAACACAGGGCATTCATAACCACTGCTATCAGAATTGGGAGATGATGTTTAAATCACTCCAGTACTGTTTAATCTCCAGACCACATTAAAGTTTTACCAGTTGTCCATTAGATACATCCTTCATAGCAAAAGGACCCAAACTGAAGCCACATGTCACATTTAGTGGCAACATTTCCTAGGAGGCTTTCAGTTTAAAACAGCTCCTCTGTCTTACCTTGGCTCTCAGGACCTTAATGTTTTTGAAGCTCACAGGAGAGGGACTTTGTTTAGCGCCGCGAATTTAATGCTTTCCCATGGTTAGATCAGGTTCTGAGTCTTTGCTAGAACCATCACAGAAGGGTGCTGGGTTCTTCTTTTTCATTCTACCAGGTAGAATGTGATTCTTGGTGTGTCCTTTTACTGATGAAATCTACTTGGATCATTTCGTGAAGGTGGTATCTGCCAGGCTAACTCACATAGAAATATTCTTTTCCCTTTGTGATCAGTAAGAATGTTGTGGGGAGGAACTATGTAAATATCCCATTTCCCATCAAGCATCCACTTACCGGTTGTAGTACTTATTGATTATTCTTGTCTGAAAATTACTATGATGGTGGCCAAAGAGAGACTGCTCAATATATTTGCTTAAGGAATGAATCTGCATTTCACAGCCCAAGACAAGTGTGGGTGTGATCACATTCTCTTGCACCAGGGAGTCACAGGAAGAGATGTTCTTCCTCTTCTCATGAAGCACAGCACAGGGCAGGGGTGGGAGAGATGCTCCCTCCATAAACTCACTTTACTGCTTTCCCCTTCACTGCTGCCAGCAAGCTGTTGCCTGTAAAGGATTCCTTCAAGACATTCAACAGACCAAAACTTGATACATGGAACAATTTGCAGTCTTTCAGGAATGCAATGGGGGGGAGGGGAGAGGTCAGTGAAGGGTTTTAAGCAGAGGAGTGACATGTTTGATTTCTGTTAAGTAAAAACAAAATTAAACAAAACAAAAATTATGAATCTTGGTTCCTTCTCTTTTCAATAAAACCTGATTCCACTCTGAGCCTACTCTCAGCCAGCTGCCCCAGATGTATTGATCTGATAAGAAAATTCATACTTAAGTATAAATGACTGACCAAGAGACAAACATTCTGGCTGCTGTGTGAACAGCTTAAAGTGCAAAATTTTTAGCCAGGGAGATAAGTATAAAGACTCAGTGTGAACATTCAGTTTGCTTCAATTTCCAGAAAGACTAGACAGGAAACTTGTTTATGAGCATGCTAAATGTCAGAGAAAGAAAGAAACGGACTTCCAGCTCCTCAGAGGGTTCCTGAGGTTGTAGACTGCAAGGGGTTCCTGTGCCACCCCACCCATTCCCCTGCAAGTCTCGCTGACCCCTGCCCTGGATGTCCCATACCTTTGGTTTCCTTGAGTAGCTCTTCCGTGAACTTGACCACCTTGACCACTTCCACCCATGGGAAGCCTTTGCCCACGGCAAAGATGATGCTTTCGTAGAGGGTATCCAGCAGAATGCTTCTGCGGGAGTCTCTCACCTCATCAAACTCTTCCCAGTTCAGCAGTCTCCGTAGGTGCTCCCTACCTTCTGGTTTCTGCAAGGCATGGTATGAGGGATGGAGAGTGACACTGAGGAATCAAGATGCCATCCTCACTGAGCAAATCACCACTGGGGCCTCACAGGGCTCCCATTGTCCTAAAGAGTCATCAGAAATGTGAGTATGCCTGGGGAGAATTATGCTTTCATTTTTGGACAGCTCTCATCCCCAACTCTTTTTTGGAAATGTACTGTTCTTTCTAGCATGGCTCCTTCCTCTGAGAGGTCTCATGCTAGTCATTGCAGCTTGAGCAGGCTTCAAGTCCTGAATTATGGTCCCTCCTTCCTCTCTAAAACAAAAGCTGACTTCCCTATGAATCCACTCTCAACTAACTGCTGCAAAGGTATTGATCTGTTCATGAAATTCATACTAAAGTATAAATGACTACAAAGAGGCTTGGTGAGGCTGTTTTAGGAGAAGGAATATGTCTTTTTCTTGGTGAAAATTTAGGCACTCTAGCAGGCCAGGAAGGGAAACTTGATCAGGGACCTAGCTAAAAGAACCCATTTCACTTGAGAGTTTGTCTGGACCTTCCAGAAAGGTTCTTATAGGTAATCACAGAGGTAGGAGAAGCAAGTGCGGGACAAGAAAAGATGCGTCATGAGGTGGAGACCCACTGAACATGGGAATTTTGCATCCTTGGGGTAAGGGGGGCTCTGGCTGGGGTGGAATTTGTGGGGGAACTGATGGCAGAGTTTCTGCCGGGGGCGGGGTCCAGAGCCCTATCCTTACCCCCCAGGAATTCCTCTCTCACCACCTGACCCAGGCAGCCATTCCTTGCAGCGCTCATGGACTCCCAGGTTGGTGTTAGCTGGTTGGGACATCTAGAGCAGCCAGGGAAAGCACATGTCCCAGGACGGGGAGGGAGGCCCCACCTGCTCATCAACTCATGACTGCAGGTCAGAAGCTAACCTGTGCACATAGTTGCATGAGGTCTTCTTGTCTGAGCTCTGAAGCAGTGCCCTGACACCCCACTGTGGAAAGCCCTATTCTGGAAGGAGCGTGCTGAAGGATCCAGGCCCCCCCTTGCTCACACCTGTTGCCATAGAATTGGGTCTATGAAACTCTGCCCCCTCCCTGCCTTAAAGCAACAACCCCCCCCCCACCACAACCACACACATTCTCTACACACATTGGCATACAAGCTCAAAGGGCTCACAGGGCCCTGAGGCTGCCTGATGAGAGGTGGCATCCCATGGTGACCATCCCCTAGGGCCCTCCTGGCCCTCCTCAGAGTGGAGGCAGGCACAGTGCCTTTATGGTCATAACCTCCTTCCCTTCAGGCAGGCTCTGTCCCTATAGGCTGGAAAAATAGCTTCCAAGCTCCAAAGGCTGGTAAGCCTTTGGCCTGGCATTCCAGCTGGCACACCCCCGTTGTGGGCCTTACAGGTGGTGTGCTGAAAAGGAGTCATTTCCAAGGTGTCTATCTGAGGAAGCACCATAGAGGGACCACTTCTCACACACACACTTCACTCTTACACCACTGAGAAAACTCCTTTTAAAAGCCCGGTTTTCTCTTCACCTGGAATTGGAAGACTTTTTTTACTCCCTGGGGTGTTAAGAGTGCCATGTCCCCTACATCCAGTTGCTAGGAGACCTAGCCAGGACTGACTCAGATTTTCTGGAACCCTGAGGATGAGTGTGCCAGCTTTGTGAGGTCATGAAGGCCTGCTTCGAGGTGGCCTTTTCCAGGTTTCTTTTCTCCTGGCCCCTCTGCTCCACCTGGGCTCTGGGTCTCATCCCCCAACACCAGCTTCAGGGGCCTTGATCCTTTTCCTCCCTCCCACCTTTCCTTTACAGGAGGCGAACCTTCTCAGGCTTGCCTGTAAACACCCATGAATGCCCCCATCCTACATAACCTTCTATCCCAAGCCCCATTTCTCTCCTTCCTTTCAAGGTCAAGGATTTATCTCCATGAAAAGACTGGCCTCCATTTTCTGTCTTCATGTTCATTTGGAGTTTCTTCCCACCAAGGTCTAGTTTCATCCCACTTCTGCACTGGCCTGTAGCATCTGTGACTTCCTGCTTCCTGCATCCTGACTTTGTTTTGGAGTTCAGGAAACAGGTCTGTGGGGGGTGAACCCTAACATGGTGCCCAAGCATCCACATGCCAAGATTAGTAGGGGTTGAGTCTTTTCCTGGCTAGCTTTGCCCTCTGTGTCCTGGAAGCCCTGGTGCCTACCAACAAGGGTGAGTTCTGCTTTCCCTGACTCCTCGACTGTATGCCATGACGCCATGCCCGGGAGCCTCCATGAGGAAAACCTTGGATGCTGGCTTGGGTTGGCGGCTGAACTATCTGACCCTGCAGCTGCCTCCATTGGTACCTTCTCAGGCCTCTTTGTCTCTTTGGGTTTGGGCCTACCAAGGGAGTTCCTGGCCAGGAATGACAGCTCCCAGGTTATAGCTCTTGACTGAGTCAGGGAAGAAGAGCACCCAAGCTCCTAGTATCTGCCACTTCAACCACTCAAAAACATTATTCCCATCAGTCCAGTAACTCCATCAAGTTGGCTCTGTTCTGTGCCCACCTTTGTTACCCTCATGGTCATGTTACTTCAAGGCCCCTTGCTGTCTTTCCTGCCATGAGGAAAAACTTGGTTAGGACCACTTTGTTCCACTCCTGCAAATTACTAGAGATAAAGGGATAGGGAGGGGGTGTCTTTTGTTCCCATGAGGCCCTAGGGCTCCTCATTCCAACTTAACCATTGTCTTTCCAACAACCTTCACCCCCTTGTTAATCTCACGAAGGTGTCCCTTTGCAACGTGTGGCTGCTTCGTCATGGATCCCTTTCCATCCTTGTCATCCTTGGCTGATGCTTCTTGGCTTCTCATAAGCTGCTTTCTCCTGAATGACCTCTCTCACCATGCATTCCCTCTCTGCCTTCTGCGAAGACTTCTCTTCCTTTATTTGTCCCTGACATGTTGGTGCCATTCATATTTGATCTTAACCCTCCTCTGTTTTTAAGCTACATGTTCTTTTTAAAAACTCTATTATGGTAGCACTTAACGTGAGATCTACCCTCAATAGACTTTTAAGTGCACAGCACAGTCTTGTTAACTACAGGCAATCTGTTGTCTGGCAAGTCTCTAGAACCTATCCATCGCACATAACTGAAACATTATGCCCATTGATGAGCACCTCTCTGTGTTCCTTTCCTTCCAGTCGCCAGTAATCACTATTCTACATGATGAGTCTATGAGGGTGACTGTGTTAGACATCTCATATAAACAGAATCATATGGTATTTGCCCTTTTATGACTGGATTTTTTCTTTCTTTTAAAAAGCAGTTTCTGACAATGCTTTATTTTTTCCCCTTAAATAGTTTATTGTCAAGTTGGTTTCCATATAACACCCAGTGCTCATCCCCACAAGTGCCCTCCTCCATGTCCATCACCCCCCTTCCCCTCTTTCCCACCCCCATCAGTCCTCAGTTTGTTCTCAGCATTCAAGAGTCTCTCATGGTTTGCCTCCCTCCCTCTCCTCAACTATTTTTCCTCTTCTTCTCCCGCACCATATGACTGGTTTCTTTCACTCAGCATAATGTCCTCAACATTCACAGGTCACATATATATTTTTTTTTAACCAATAGTTTATTGTCAAATTAGTTTCCACATAACACTCAGTGCTCATCCCCACAAGTGTCCTCCTCCATGCCCATCCCCCTCCCCCCCACATCCATCAGTCCTCAGTCTTTGTCAGCATTCAAGAGTCTCTCATGGTTTGCCTCTCTCCCTTTCCCCCACCATTTCTGCCCTTCTTTTCCCCCTTGTTCCTCCATCAAGTTCCTCCTAATCCTCCTATACGCACAGGTCACATATTTTTGAGGGATTTTTTTTTCTAGCTGCATGACTGCAATGTCCATCCATTGCAAATGACTTCCAAATTTATGCAATGGATGGTTCTCTTCCTTTATCCCCAGCCTGGGGAGTGTTGATGTGCTCAGTCTTTTCCCATAGAATGGATGACTGGGGAGCTGTGCTAGGTTTATGGGGTCTCTGGGGACTCAGGGTTTCCATGGGGAATTTTGCCATGGCGGGTGGATCCTGACACAGTGCTTTGAGGGGGGTGAGTCCCCAAGTCTAGGCCCGCTGGGTGGAAGCTATCCCTGCTCAAAATTCTGGGGTAGGTTCTACAGATCAGCCACTATGTCTGGTCTTTTCCTTGACTTCTCTCCTAAGTGGCATTGGGCTCGGGCTCAACACCCTGGACATGGAACCCTTCTCATCTACTTTTCCATCCTTCTCAATTTTCTCCTCATACCCACAACTCTCTTTGTTACATCAGAAACTCAAACTAGCTTAGGCCAAGTGAGATTTTATTGTTGCACAAAAATAAAATGTCTTAGGGTATGTTTAAGGTGAGGTGCTTCCATCTGTATTCATTCTCAAAATCTTCCCTGAGATTTTGCTTTACCATCCCCTTCCTAAAATTCACTTCTCACTCCCCTCACCTGGCTAGTTCTCATTGATTTTGCAACACTCAGCCTGCATGTTAGCTCTTCTGGAAAGTCTTCTAGATTCTTCTTCCCCAGGGTAGTTAGGCGTCCCTCCAACTGCTCCAGCCAGCAACCTGAGTCATTCCTGACTGCTGCTTCTCCCCTCTGTTCCTTCCCAGACAGTCCAAGCTCTACCAACCTTTTCTTCTAACTATTTATTGAGATCCTTCTCTTCTCTTCAATCCTCACTACTACTACCCAAGTATATCCTCTATCAATTCTTGCCCCCACCCCCATCACCCATTCTCTACACTGTTGCCAGAGTAAACGAACATACAAAACAAATCTGATTATGGGATGGACGTTGGCAAGAGGGAACTTGCTAAAGTGATCATAATGTCCTGTATCTTATTTCGGGAGTTGGTTACTCTGACATGTATCCTCACTTAAAATCTCTGAATTTTATTTTGTGTAAATTATACCTTCCCTTTTCTCTACACACACAAATACATAACACAGATAAAACTGAAATATGTCTGTTTCTTGGTTCAAAACTTGCAATGGTTGCTCACAGAGTAAGCCGCAAAGCTCCATGAGGCTTAAAAGGCACTATAATGATCTGGATCTTTCTTCCTTGTCCAGTCCATCCTGGTGGCTATGCCCACTGCCTCTAGGCCTCATCCGTCCATACTTTCCAGTCCTCCTCTGTCCTCCCTCCAGAACTTTGCACACTGTCTTCTCTCCTAGAACACTCTCTCCTCCCTCATTCTGCCTCGATCATTCTCGCACTCAGATCTCAACTTAATAATCTCTCACCCAGGGAAAACTTTCCTGAGCCCCTGTGACATGGTCTGTAGTACTAAATGCATCACCAACAGCACTTTGCACATTGTAAGTGTTCACTTAACCATTTGAATTATTTGTCTTAATGTCTGTTTCTTCCTATATTTTAAAACATGAGAACATTTCATTTTATCGATGACTATTTTATTCCCTGTTCTCCACGCCATAGTAGGCTTGTTGAGTGAATCATAATGACAGGATATTTCACCTGTTTATTGAAGGCCTCTATGTCTAGCTTGCTTGTCCCATGAAGACATGGACAATGCCTTTTTCCTCTCTGGGACCCTGCTGCCTAGCGTAGGGCCTGGATGGTGGCTGGCACTCAGCAAATGTTTGCTAGTTGCATAATTGAAAGCATCATGAAGTGATATTAACAGGAGGAAAACAGATTATAGACCTACCTATGTATTTGACTCATTTTGGCCACACCCAATGTTCTTCAGTTAAACATGGAATTTTCTCAGATCTCCCCTGAGATCTGTACAAAAGTCATAGAGTCCAGCACTCTTGAACTTAATGGTACTTAACATGCCTTTTCCTATTTACTGTTTGTGGAATGAATGTGTGTATCTCAGCTCACCTATCTTATAGACTTGTTTAGTCATAAAAACAAAACAAAACAAAACAAAACAATTTCACATACTTACCAAGCAATGCTAAAGAGTGCTTTCAGTTAGTAAATAGTGAGAGTTATATTCCAGGAGCTTTAACTATCTCTTTTAATCCTTACAATAATTCCACAGGCTAGATATAATAATGATCATTCCTATTTGACATATGAGGAAACTGAGGCTTAGAGAGATTAAATACCTTGTACAAGATCACAAAACTGATGTTGGAACCCTAACCTTAACACTTGGCAATATTAACAACTATTGAAGATTGCAGGATTCAAGAGTTTTCTAGATAAGACCTGGATGTTTCAGTTCACAGACTCTAGTCAGTTAGTGCTCAAGTAGAGTTTACATAACTGCTTCCTTCAGGCTATGATATACACTATAACCTGGAGATTTCAAACACGTTTGAGTGACTCAGGGAAGATCTGATCTTTACTTTTTCTTTTCATCCTTTAGCATCATTAACAACTTTTTTTGTAGTAACCATGTTACAACATTAGATCCTCAGACCTTATTCATTTTATAACTGGAAGTTTGTGCCCTTTTACCAACTTCTCCTTATTTCTGTTTCCCCAACCCCAGCCCCAGCAATCACTTTTTAAACTCTGTTTCTATGAGTTTGAAATTTTTTAAAAATTATTTTTAGACTTCATATATAGTGAGACTATGCAGTAACTGTCTTTCTGTGTCTGACTT